AGGGTGGTATATCTGTTTGGCTGTGGGCAAGAGAGGAGGATGCTGAGCTTGTTCCTGAACTGAACATATTGAAGAATGTGTTCAGTTCATTGGCTCTGTCCAGGATTCCATCCTTCTAATCCTCCTTCTGCTTGAAGCCTGTGATCTTTTTCATCCCTGACCACACCTCTGATATTGTTCTGCTGGAGCTTGCTCTCCAGCTTCTTCTTGTACACCTCCTTGCTGTTTCTTATCTTGACTTTTAGTTGCTTCTGTGTACTCCTCAATAATTCCCTGTCTCCCTCCCTGAAGGCTCTTTTTTTCTGGTTTAGCAGTTCTTTCAGGTCAGTGGTGATCCAGGGTTTGTTATTGGGGAAGAATGTCACTGTTCTGGTGGGAATGGTGTTGTTTACACAGAAGTTTATATAGTCGGTCACACACTCAGTCATGGCATTGATGTCCTCTCCATGTGGCTGGCAAAGTGCATCCCAGTCTGTAGCCTCTAAACAACCCCACAGGGCTTCTTCAGCTTCCGTTGACCATTTTCTCACTGTTCTCTTTATTACAGGTTGTCTCTGAACAAGGTGTTTATATTTTGAGCAGAGAAACACAAGATTGTGATCATCAAAATATCATAGTCAAACAGATTAAATATTAAGTACAAACACTAGAGAATGTATGTTTAGAAGTTGGACATTATCTCAAGATAGTTGGGCTTGATTCTTTAAGACAACACAATTTGTTTATTTGAACCTAGAAAAGCTCATTCCCATCCATCCATCCATCCATCCATTCATCCATCCATCCACATATATACTGTATATATCTGTGCTCCCAGGCCAAGACACATAATCTCTCCAGTGTGTCCTGGATCTTCCATGGGATCTTCTCCCAGATGACATACCCATAAAATACCTCTAGGGAGGCTTCCAGGAGTCATCCTTACCTGAACCACCTCAAGTGGCTCCTCTTGATGTGGAGGAGCAGCGACTCTGCTCTGAGTTTCGCCCTGATAACTAAACTTCTCACCCTATCTCTAAGGGAGAGTCCAGTCACCCTGCAGAGAAAACTCATTAGACTGTCCATCCATCCATCCATCCATTATCTTTACCCGTTTCTTCTTTTTCAGGTTGCGTGGGTCACTGGTGCCCATGTCCAGCTATCACTATGCGAGAGGCAGGGTACATCCAGGACGGGTCTCCAGTCCATCACAGGGACACATAGAAACAAATGAGACAAACAACCATTCACTCTCTCTCTCTCACACCTAGAGACAATTTAGAGTTACCAATCAGTCTAACATGCATGTTTTTGGACTGCGGGAGGAAGGAGTACACAGTGAAAACACTCACATGCACGGAGAGAACATGCAAACTCCACCCAGAAGGGTCCCGAGCCAGGATTTGAACCGGCGACCTTCTCGCTGAGAGGCAGCAGCTCTACCAACTGTGCCACTGTGCCTCCTCTCATTAGACTGCTTTAGATTATTTAATCCTTTCAGTCACTACCCTGAGTTTGTGATTGTGGTTGAGGGTAGAACGCAGACTGACAGATAAACAGACAGATTCACTTAGAAACTGCACCTATATGTCCGTCGATCTCACGCTCCATTCTAACATCACTCCTGAACAAAACCCCAAGATACTTGAACTTCTCCACATGAGGCAGAACCTCGCACCCAACCTGACTGACTCAGCTACTACCATACCAAATTATAATTCGATAGCTGTTAAATTTGCTGCATTATGACCATTTTAATTTTGGCTAAGGTCGATTTGTTGCGATGGCCATCTTGAACTGAGCTCATTATGATCAATGCAATACTATCCTTTTTACTTTTTAGTAGTAAATCTAAAATGTCTCATTAATTTTAATAACTGAAATTATATCATGTATGTGAAAATACTGGATTACCGGAAGAATTAAACTGACTGTAATTTGATTTCAATCTGGAATCTTTAAATTGGATTAATGACTTAGGACGGCGGGTTTTTTTTTGTATCACATTCTTCGATGACTTTAAATAAACTGAATTGAATTTTTCAGATCAGTTATTTAATTATAAGCTGCATTTCTTTGTTTAACTGTGCACAGAGATGCTCCAACTGCAATTTTGTTACATAATTTTCAGACACATTGTCAGCTGAATTAAAATAATACTAATCAGGCATTTTCAAATAACAAAACATGATCTTCTGTGGCGATGGGGGGCGGTTGGGGTTCTGTTGAGCTGAACAAACATCTGATTATATTTGTGAAAAAGAACCTCACTGTGCCACATCCTTTGTTACTTTTACACACGGAGACAAGCTGCTGCTGGTTGACTCAGCTATGTTCTAAAACCAGTTAGCTGCTACAGCCAAACTCTTAACCAGTCTACCGCAGAATGAGACAAAATGCATTTCTGCCTCAACTGCAAAGTCACACTGAAATCATGTTTAAAATAATTTTACTTTTATTCTAACTGCGTAAAAGAAAAAGAAAAAAAAACAGATCTTGTTAGTGTTACAAAGGCAAGCCCGCTTGCTTTGTTTTACCACCCCAATGTTGCAAAATAAAGACCAAACTAATAATAAATACCAGTAAATAAAACCACCACGACACCAAATATTACTGAGTTTGTATTTAGTCAAATTCAGACATCAGCAGAAAAGTCTAATACAGGATCTTGTGTAAAAAAATGTAAAATAAAATAAGCACCAGCATGCATCCAGCGAACATCCTGCTGCGTTCACGCGCTGTCTGAGTAAAGCTTTGAGAACTATCACAACTATGTGAAGAAGCGCACCCAAACACTGATATCTGACTCCACTCCTTCTGTGTGTGACCTTACAGAAGTCCATACAGACAAAAAGATCTAAAAACAAGCTATATATATATATATATATATATATATATATATAAAATATTTTTAAAAATCAGGTCACACACATAAACGCACGAACAAATTAAACTCAAACTGTTGCAAAATGCTAAAACACACGTTTCCACCGTTTTGAACGCAGATTTGACTCCAGGCAGATGATTCAAACCTAAAAGTATCAAAAAGCACAAACGGGTAGATTAAAACAAAAAAAAATTCTACTAAACCCTTCCCCTTCAGAGCCACTGGGCGCTCTGACAGCAGACTATCGACACCATACACTCCGTGAACACAAGTACTAATTACAGCTAACCCACCGCTGCGTTAAAAAGCATCTCAGAGCATATAGAGGGCTGCGTCTGGATGTTGCACTGTTGCTAAGAGACCAGAAAATCCATGAGCATCTAACTGGCTGTTAGACAGTGGGGGGAAAGCTGACTTCAAGCAAATTGAATAAAAGTACAAATGCCAAACGCTCCTCCACATTTTGTCATCTTCTTGTTGTAGTTTTTATTGTTTATTGTTGCCAGAGCTAAAGGTCTGTCTCTGTTGGATAGTTTGATCTGACAGCAGGAAAAAGAAAATGCAAAATAAACAACATATTATTTAAAATGAAAGAGAATTAGCGTTTAGATGTTGTATGCTGCAGAGTTAGGTCGTATTAACGCCACCAGTTCAGGAGGTGAAATGAAATAAGTACTTTTTTTTGGTCATTGCAAATCAGTTACTGTGTTTTAAACACTTCAGGTTTTTTTAAAAGGTAGTGTTTTTTTTGGATGTTATGGGTCATAACTTTTTTTAACCACAACTTTGGATCGTTGTTGTCTTGTCTGTGATGAATGAACCAACAGAAAGGTTAACTTTATGAAGTAATAACAAAGACTTCTCTACGGACAGATGTCTAACGCACAGTTTTACTTACCAACAAACAGCACTATAGGTGACTATTGATCAGAAAACTTTCTTTTTTTTACTTTGGAATGTGACTTACTTATCGATTACTGCATATTGTATTAGACAGTATTGTGTTGTATCATAGCTCTACATATTACATCATATCTTGTTACATTGTACTGAATTACATCTTATTATAATACTATTGTATTGTAGTTCATCACATTGTGTTATCCATCCGTCTATCATCTTTACCTGCTTCCTCCTTCCCGGGTCATAAGGTTCACCGGTGCCCACGTCCAGCAGTCACTGTGCGAGAGGTAGGGGACACCCTGGACATGTCCAAGTCCATCACAGGGACACATAGAGACAAATGAGACAAACAACCATTCACTCTCTGACTCACACCTAGAGACAATTTAGATGGGTCAGCCTAACATGCATGTTTTTGGTCTGTGGGAGGAAACCAGAGTACCGGAGAAAATGTTAGATCGTATTGCATCGTATTACAACACATGTATGGATTTGTATTGTATATCATTGTATTGTATTGTATCAGTATTTTACATTGTATCGTATCATATCATAGTGTAATATATTGTGTTGTGTTACATTGTGATATATTCCATGTATTGTGTGAACATTGCATGCATCCAAGGGAGGCACAGTGGCGCAGCGGTTAGAGCTGTCACCTTGTAGCGAGAAGGTTGCTGCATCACATCTTAAACTTTCTGGGTAGGGTTTGCATGTTCTCTCTTCTCTGAATGCATGTTTCCTCCCACAGACCAAAAACATGCATGTTAGACTGGTTGGTAACTCTAAATTGTCCTTAGGTGTGAGTGAGAGAGTGAATGGTTGTCTCGTTTGTCTCTGTGTCCCTGTGATGGATTGGAGACCCGTCCAAGGTGTCCCACACCTCTCACACAGTGACTGCTGGACATGGGCGCCAGCTGACTCGCAGCTTGAAAAGGGGAAAGCAGGTACAGGACATCAATGAATGGACATTACATTCATGTTTAAACCAACAGTTTTCACATTTTTCCTTATCACCATTTTACATCAAACACCATTTCTGTAGATTTTTTTTTTTTTTTTGTATATTCATCAGAAATTTGACAATTTCCAAAGCTTAAGTGAGGTTGTTCTTCGCTTCCATCATTAATTGTGCACCAGGGAAGTCAGGTTTCCTGTTTAACTTCAGAACTTTAAAATGGTTTTTATGACTCGTGCCACCAACAACATGCGTGTGCTGCAAACGACCTACCTTGACACTGGAATCCCTGCTTGCCAAACCCCCTGGGGAGAGAACATAAACAGTGAGCCATTTACACACATTACAGTATACACAAATCTTCTCTGGCACAAATCTTCAACCTAATGACTGCCATGTCAGTGATAGCCTAAGAACACGTTAAACACACTTCACCACCGCGGGGGTGATGCATGAACAGATCAGAACAGGCTACAGGATGATGCTCTGCTGGACAAAGTTACAGCTGCAGCCACGGTAAATGGTTTCAGCCACACCTAGTCAAATGGTACAGGCGATGTTGGGATGTCTGTGCATGCATGAACACACACATGCACACTCAGCCCAGCTCATTTTCATATTGTAGCTACAAATAGATAATCGCCACAAGTGTTAAATCTCAGCGCAGACAGACACACAGTGTCTCATTTTGGTCAAATCATGACAGGCTTCTGAATATTAAAACACTTGTCTTGTTCATAATCAACAGCTGCTATGGAAATAGCACAGGTCATAATAATAATAATACCCCCGTGACCCAAAATGGAATAAACGGGTAAAGAAAATGGATGGATGGATAATAATAATAATTATTATTATTATTATAAAGGGTACAAACTGGACTCAATTTGAGCTCTGAATGATTATGTAGTGAACCCAGGTGGGCTGCCTGGTGACATGCCTGAACAAAAAAGGAATGAGGAGGGGGAATAGGAATTAGTGGGCGGTTGAACTGGTGTCAGCGTTTGAAATATATATATTTTTTTAAGCTCTCAGACAAGTGCAGCTGGCTTCCATTCAGAGCTGTTTTTGTTTTGGAGAACAGTTTTTCAGCTCCTCACCCTACATCATCCTATCAAACGATGGTCTGCAGCTATTTTTTAAATTCTTTTGCAGCCCACTCTGTCTTGTCTTTTGTCTTACCTTCAGAAACAGCACCACGAAGTGATAAGGCTAAAATTGATGTTTATTTTAGAGTTTGTTCGGTTTGTTCCTCGCTGTGCAACTTAATGACATTGAAGACCTATTATTCTTTATAGTAATCCACATCTCCCGCCGTCTTTAAAGAGTCTCAGCTACCACATCAATATTTTGATAACTATCAGTAATTCTGACTGTCATATGGGTAACGTCAATTAGCTGTGGTGGCCATCTTGAATGAGGTAGACTCAAAAGTTTAAATAGCTATAGATGTACAGCTATTGATTACTTTCTGAGATTTCCACAAAAATCAATTCAGTGCTTCATGAGATATTTTCCTAACAGACAAAGGAGGATTGACTCTGACAGCTGAAGGCAAAGGTTTAAACAAAGCTTGTAGCTCTTGGAGTTATTTGTTGTAAATTAATCTCAGCTACAACCACATCAAATCATAGATGGATGTCTATAAAACAGACTGAATTATAGACATATTTGTGTTTTTCCATGGTCAGTTGGCTGTGGCGGCTATCTTCATGCACGCTGACTCCAAAAATTTTAAAATTTCTAGATAAGCCGATGATTACTTTATGAAAGTTTCATTCAAATCTGTCCAGTGGTTTATGAAATATTTTGCTAACAGACAGAGCTGGCTTTAAAGGTTAACAGCAAAGTTTTAAGAACAAGCGTTGTGCCATCAGTTGGGGCTCAGAATAATAATTTTAGGATAACTTTCAGCTACTACCACACCAAACTTTAGCTGCATAACTGTGTAAGTGACTGACTTATAGCTAATTGTGTATTTATAAGATCAGTTGGCTGTGGCGGCCATCTTGAATTGCATTAACTTCAAAAGGTAATCATTTTAATTGGTGAATACTTCCTGAGAACTTCATTCATGTCCGGCCAGTAGGTCGTGAGATATTTTGCTAACACGCACACAACAACTCACCAGATGAAGTCGGTGCAGTGGCTGCAGAAGGTGGGCTGTTTGAAGAAGCGCGCGATGAATTTGTGGTCCTTCACCTCGTGCACGTTCTTCTGCCGGAGAGCTCCCTGGCGCGCGAAGCCCCGCACGGGCTGCTTGAGTCCGTCCTCCCCGTCGCTGTTAGTCGCCGCAGAGTCTGCCATGCTCCGAGCTGTGTGGTTGAGTTTATTTAAAATCTAAATAAAATATAACTCAGCGCTGTCGGAGCCAGAAAAGACGGGAAATTAAAACTAAACTAACAGGAGTCGAGTAAAAAGATGGTGTCTCGCGCTTTGGTTGGAGTTGTATGAAAGTGTTGAGAGGTGGCTGCTGACCTGTCTGTCTGTCAGCAGAGAAGCTAGCTGGCTGCCTCTCTCTGGCTCCTCTCCCTCCGCTTCCTCCTTTAGCAGAGAGAGAAGGAGAGAGAGAGGACCGGTGAAAGACAGACACCTCCTTCCTATTTATATGGAGACGACACTGAGTTAATCTAAAACCAGTCCAAGCCTTGTCCAAACTCTTACAGACCTACATGGTATGTTTTTACCATGTCAGTCCAGATGGTGCTGACCTGAAACCGCAAAACTCAAACCCATCAATCAGTGGAGAACCTACTGGCTGAGAGGTCCAGATGTGTCAAACTCAAGACCCGGGGGGCCAAATGTGGCCCTCGTTGACATCTTATCTGGCCCCCAAGATGATACGTGAAATGTCAAATATTTTATCTCTTGAATTTTTTTTTCATTAATCTTTGATTATGATGTTGAAAGCACAACAGAGAACATCAAATGAGACAAATCAAACGTGTTGAGGAACCTGTGGCCAAGAAAATACACTGCCTGGCCAAAAAAAAATAAATCACCACCTGGATTTAACTAAGCAAATAGGTACGAGCATATTGAATAATTACTGCATGGGCGATTATCTTTCAGCTGGCAACAAGTTATTTAAAGCCCAACTGGTGCAATGAGTTGCTTCTCATTTCTTAAACAAACATGTAGAAAGACTCATGGCGTGGTCGTGGAAAAGATGTCAGTCTGTTTGAGAAGGGTCAAATCATTGGCATCAAGCAGAGAAAACATCCAAGGAGATTGCAGAAACTACTAAAATTGGGTTAAGAACTGTCCAACGCATTATTAAAAACTGGAAGGACAGTGGGGACCCATCGTCTTCGAGGAAGAAATGTGGCCGGAAAAAAATCCTGAATGATCGTGATCAGCGATCACTTAAACGTTTGGTGAAATCAAATCAAAGAAAAACAACAGTAGCAGTCAGGGCTCTGTTTAATAGTGAAAGTAAGAGCATTTCTACACGCACAATGTGAAGGGAGCTCAAGGGATTGGGACTGAATAGCTGTAAGAAAACCACTAATCAGTGAGGCTAACTGGGAAAAAAAGGCTTCAATTTGCTAGGGAGCATAAAGATTGGACTCTGGAGCAATGGAAGGTGGTCATGTGGTCTTAGTCCAGATTTACCCTGTTCCAGAGTGATGGGTGCATCAGGGTAAGAAGAGAGGCAGGTGAAGTGATGCACCCATCATACTTAGTCATCAATGCAAAATCTTAGTGAAAAATTAATGCAACACTGGATGGAAATAGATCTTGTGACATTGAAGAAGCTTATCGAAACAATGACACAGTGAATGCATGCTGTAATCAAAGCTAAAGACGGTCCAACAAAATATTAGTGTGTGACCTTTTATTTCCTTAGGTGGCAACTTTTTTTTTTTCCCCAGGCAATGTATGTTGAGTATATGATTTGAGTGAATGTAGATTCTGAAATCGGCCATTAGTTTGAAAAAGGTTTTAATTTTGGTCCCCTTATGTAAATGAGTTTGCAATTGCCCACCGTAATGAGAAATGGCGTTCTGGTCATTGAAAGAGCTTACAAGGTCTGTTGGCCTCTGAGTTTGTGTTGAGACTGACTCTCAGCTACTACCTCAGCTAAATGTTCATCCGTTACAGCCGTTTCTGTATTCATTAAGGTTGCTTAGCTGTGGCGGCCATCTTGAATTGACCATTTTTACAGTTAGTTGGCATGCTCAGTGTAAGTATTTTGCAGTGCATTGTGGTCTAGATATATTCATGTCTGTTTTCGGTTTGTTGAAATTAGTCTACCTGTGTTTGAGCTGTGCTCTTAGACACTCAGACTTTTCAATATGACAACATAAAATCTGAATAAAATGAATTTATAAATATGCTTGCATATAAAATCATTTAAGAAGCTGTTATAAAGGACCAAAAGACTAGAGTTAAATGCCGACTATCTGGCATGTGACTGTTGGTGGATTCGAACCCACAACTCTTGTATTGGAAGATGACTAACCACTCAGCCACAGCAGCCCATGTATGCTAAACACTAATAATATAAAACAGTACGGTGTAACAACAGCAGCATGAACATGAGTCTGTGGCGAGTAGATATGAATGATATAATTAGCAGCACAGATAAGTCACATATCATAGATTAAAGTGGCATTACAGTGATTTTCTTTTTTTTCTCCTTAAAGTTATTTTCCTGGTTAGGGATTCATGAGTCTAACAGCTTCAGGGTAGAAGCTGTTCCTCAGTCTATTGGTTCTACATTTAATGCTCCACAACCTCCTGCCTGAGGGGGAGTGGGGCAAAAAGTGTGTGTGCTGCGTGAGTGGGGTCCTTCATGATGCAGGCGGCCCTCTTCCTGCATCTGGAGGTGTAGATGTCTGTGATGGTGGGGTGACTGACTTCAACAGTCTTCTGTGCAGCCTTCACCACTCTCTGCAAAGCTTTTCTTTCTGCAGCTGTGCAGCCTCCATGCCACACGTTGATGCTGGAGCTCAGGATGCTCTCCACTGCACACCTGTAGAAGGAGGTGAGGACTGAGCTTCCCAGTCCAGCTCGTCTCAGCCGCCTGAGGAAGTAGAGTCTCTGATGAGCTTTCTTGATCAGGCTGGTGGTGATGTTGCTCCAGCTGAGGTTGTCATTCAGGTGTACACCCAAGTACTTGTAGCTGGAGACCACTTCCACCGCAGATCCTCCTATGTTCAGGGGGTGGGAGGTTTTCATTCAGCCTTTATTTAGACAGGTAAATCCCATTGAGCCTCGAGGACTCATTTACAAGAGAGAACTAATTTCAACAAAGAATGATGACGACAATGGACAACAGCGACAACAATAAACAGTTATAAAAAGTCACACTATATATATATATATATTATTTTTTTTTATTTATTTTTTTTTTAACAAATAGGATGGCTAAAAAAAAGAAAAGTAACAAAAAACAGCTACAAAGTAGATTCTAAGGTGAATGTAGAAAACTAAAAACAAGAACATGTCTGCATTGGTCCCTGCCAGGAGTCCAACAGATTCTTAAAGACACTTAGAGAGGTCAAGGTCGAGAGCATCAGATCTTTTTGTAAGATATTTCAGGAAACAGGAACGGAGTAGGAGAAGGCCCTTTTGCCTAGTTCAGTTCTCACTGAGGGAACACTGCAGGTAATAATGTCCTGAGAGCGCACGCTGTAGCTGCACTCACGCAGAGACGTGTAGGAGGAGATGTATGAAGGCAACAGACCAAGAAGTGATTTAAAGATGAACATGTACCAGTGAGAGAGTCTGCGTGAAGTTAATGATGTCCAGTTAACCAGTGAATACAGGGTGTAGTGGTGGGTACGATAATCACAGCCAGTTATGAATCTTACTGCACCAGGGAGGGGTGGGAGGTATGATATGTTCAGCGGGATGTGTTTGCTCCTATCACTCCTATAATTTGAGCAAACTTTGCTTTCTAGTTTTCGCATTGCTCAAAAGTATAGTTTCCTCAAATGATTGAAGTGGCTTAAGATTAATCTATGGGGCCAAGCCCACCATTGGCCACCCCCTGGCTCCACCGTTGCAACTGGTGGTGAATAAATTTGCTCCCTTCACTTGCCAGGATATGTCACTCTGCAGCACCTCGGGCAAGAAAACAAAAGACAACTCACCTCTCTTCTCATACACAGTGTAACTCCTACCCACTTGAATATCTTGCAGCAAAAACATTAAGGTTTACTTGCATTCCTTGTTTAATTCCAGTCCAGGGAAACACTGAAAACTACTAACATTTACTGATCAAATACTTCAGCAAGGGTGCATATCGACATACCACATGTATTAACCATTTTTCCATGAGATGTAATATTCCCTAAGTTTTAAATCCACGGGAACCTATTTTGAGCTCCCACTGGTCCATGCTATCCACACACACCTATCCATGTGGCTGGAAGTGACCTAGATGAGATTGATTCAGATAACAGGTTGTGCAGTTCAGCTTGTTCTCATCAAATCAGGGTTTACTGCAGATATAACAGCCAGTTAATACGGCTCTCTCTGGTCAGGTCCCTTCCTGGTCCCCCATCACTCACCTGTTCTTTCCTCTGACATTATCTACCTGTGTGATTACATAACTGTCTGCCTGGGCAGCTAGAAAAAAACAAGGACAACCTAATTTGCAGTGGTTACATTGTATCGAGAGACTCAAGAAGGGGCGTACCTGGGAGTGTGTAAATTAACTCGTATGTTGAAACTCATCAGTTTATATATAGGCCGATCACTCATGTCTTCCATTTTCTCAGTCCCAAGAACATGATGTAACCTCTCCTCAGGGCTGTTGAGCTGTAAGGAGCATCTTTATCCCAGCAATCTCCGTGTCCAATAAAATTCTTGATGTTAGATGTTGGGCCTGGAAACACTTAGAAAGCAGCATTTTATATCCTTTTCAGTAAATATATAATGTAATTGTCAATCTGTGATCTAAAAACTTTAGAACAGGATAAAATATTTTAAAGCTTTTTTTTTTTCCAACACAATATCAGTTTGAAACTCTGGCATGAAAGGCAACAGGAGACATATCGCCTTCTTTAAGTAATGCTGGGCTTTTAATTTTCATTTTATTTTCTGTCTCAAAGCTTTATAATTCTCTGACAATCTTTCTTCATAAAAAATACAAATAAAAAAACAAGATATTTGTCGTATCTGACCAAAGGAGGGCTGCTACATAAACATGTTGTCTTTATTATAATCTGTTTTAGGCTCAAGAAAGTTCTCTGACGCATGCTCCAGTTAAAAGGCAGGCACAAAACAACCGTACAGTTAAGTTGGTTGCACCACTTTACATTTTGCTTTTACCGGAAAAATGTATTTAGCTTCAC